GTCCATTCGAATTCATGAAGTTCGCGCAAAGTACACATTAGACTATTAAGCTATCACTCCTCTCGGTATGCGCTTTGCACCTGCGAAGTAAAAGGTGATACTGTAAGTCTGGATGTCTAGTGTAACCGTTTTTGAAATAGACAGTTGGGAATTAGCTGAAGTTGATTGCTTCTTTTACTTATGTAGTTGCGTACTTGTCCACAAGCTGGTGTTATATATATAGACTGCCTAATTTACGTTGGCTTTCCTTTCCCTTTTCTCATGAGAGATTCACTCCTCATCCACCTTAAACAACAATACTTTAAATATATCGTGAGTTTAATGGTGATCCACGAAGTTGCTTCAGTGTATTGAGCGACACGATGATGATGGTGGTGATAGAAAAGGTCGGTTTTCTGTAGTCGTTTCGAAGTCCTGGAATCTGAGCGAAAGTTTGAACCGGTTCTCTGATCAGTTTCTATTCATTGGATCTGTTCTCGAGCGAGTAAGCTTACAGACTTTAGTGGTAGGCAGCTCTGCTGTCGTCCGGCTCAATACCACGCCTAACCTATCGGGGCCTTATGTGGTTCGTCACTCCAAGTCCCAGGGTTAAGGTTGACGGTTTCCACCACTGAAAAGCAGGTCCGCGTGCCTGTCTTTACTGTTCATCACACTTAGATGTGTAATAAAAAAGAAAGCTCTGCTTCAAACTCCAATTTGCAGTTGTCGCTTAAATTCCTCTGAAGGTCTTTGTTTTGGGCGGGTCTGATACAAACCTAATCCGGCTCTTACCAAAGAGACGACCATGTCCACAACTTAAGTCAATAGAAATCGTGAGTGGGTCTCCGTTAGCGTTAACGGATACCCAAGTAATTGTTTCTGGTCTGTCGTTGAGAAGAGTGGCTGACTTTCCATCTGAGGTGATACTTTACTTTTGCTATGAAAAATTAGGATTCAATAGGACTAATCCGTGATCTGATAGCCTTCGTTGTCCTGTTTGTTATATGGGACTGCATATAGGCCTTACTACTTATAAACCCCACTAGAGCCTTTAAGTCACCGCGGATAAATAACATTTTCGATGAGCAAACACTTTACAGCTATTGTGATAGGTCATTATAGAAGTCATCCTTCATTTCAGGCGAATTGCAGTCTGTCGACACTTACGCAGACACAATTCATAAGAAGCAATGCTTTGTTCTGTTGCGGTTCACCTTCACTAAACCATCAAGACTTGGCTCACAATCGGATACCAACAGGAATCTAGTCAAATGATGAATGTTCTACCTTTACACCTGACACATTTCCAAAGCATGCAACACGGCAAACGCTAGATACCAAACCACCTGACACAGAAGAATGAAGCGTAACCTTGCGGTTGGATCTGAAAAGACATCAGGTGCCTGATCATCTTGTCCTGTTAGACTGAACCTCGTCTGACTTTTCAAACGCGATTGAATCTACGGTTGTGGAAGCCATCGTGTTCGACTCCATGGGGCACACAAGTCGTCATTGCACGTCAAGACAATCTCATTTTGATGAAAGTTTATTCCGTTATAGGGTTACGATTTTCGCGTAGCTACTGATTACTACATGTTTCAGTTTAATTACCCCACCCAATTTTTTTGACCATCAGAAGCTTAGTGATAAGTTGTTATTCATTACACCTTCTTTCTGGTTCCTTAATTTGTTCTTGTTATTATTTTTGTTGTTTCACATATCTGCGTCCAGAGTATTTGCCAAACAAATCAAGATACATTAACCCTTATGAAATAGAAGATTCATGATTTGTCAGTGGGCTGAATATTGCCACGTTGTCCAAACCAAAGCAGGTGAATTTTCTTGGAATATTCACAATCGTAGCCTTCGGCTAGACAAAGCGTAACGCTCAAGGCAATGGGACGGTGTTTGAACAAATCATTCCGGTTCTTCAGATCATACACCATTTGGACGGGGTCAAACATCTAAGGTGCTCAATACCCAATCGAGTCGCTTGTTTGGAATCAAGGATTTTTGTCAATTCCTCTATGTGAGCTGCCGATCGTTCACCGACCCGTTTGTAGTTTCGGATGTTGGCTTTTCGTTCTTTCACTATGGTGGGAGAACATTTCCGCTACGGGAAGACAGTGAGCAGCAGAAACTGTTTAAAACGCTTTGTCGTGTGGGAATATTTCACGAGGTGCAAGAGAAGGGCAACTAGCCACCCACTATCATACTGAGGCTATCAAGGCAGTTTCTGTGATCAGATAATAGTTCCTTGTGACTAAGGGGTTCTACGCTTCCGTTATTCACTACATTAACATGCGTAATAAGGATGTGTACATAGTTCATCGTCATTCCAATTGTTACAGTCAAGAAAAACACTGATGCGAACCCCACTAGATACTACCACTTCTGCCGTTTATCTTACTTAGAAATAGACATGTAAGATGAATGGAACTTGTTTGATGNNNNATGACGGGTCCAAGTGAAAGGTTTCTCCACACATCCACTGTTAATTGCGTTATTCGTCTCTGGAATATATTTTCACTTACTCCGTTTGCCGTAATTTGAGATCTTGAACTGGAGACACTGTACGGGTTTAATTTGCCGGGTAATGGTTCCTCTCTTCAGTTGCACTCTATGGCTGTTACCTTTGAGCGAGTTAGGGGTATTTAAAACTTCCGAAGTAGGCAGCTCTGACGGTTCAACCCTCGCCGCTTCCAAATGCGGTTTTTCTAGCTTTTCATTTCAAATCGATTTCTGTAACTGAGTCCAGTGGCTGAGGTTTCGTCCCACTTTTCTGTTTTACGAAATCATTCTTTTTGTGACTGTCGAATACGGAGGTAGTCGACTAAACCGGGGTCGAAAATATACTGTAAATGACGCGTTTGGTGATGTTATCTTGCACCGCTCGACCTTGATCACCGAGTATCTGTTATATTTATCGCATCGGAACAGTTTATAATTGAATGAAACCCTATCTGACAACCTACTTGTCTACTCTGGTCGTCCCTACCGTATTTTTCATAATTTTATCTTCCCCGCTCTTTTGGTAGCTCGTCGACGCATTGACACCATCTGTGGACAATTGCGTTTGGGAAGTGATGTTTCTGTGTCAGCTTTTCGGTTCTATCAAAGCGCTCTGTTTCGCGGACTGACTCGTGGACGTGGGGCAATGCATACTGCGGCGGGTTGTATCTACTTGGCTGCTCGTCAACTTCGAGTTAGTCTGATGCTTCTCGATCTGAGCGATGCGGTCGGGATCAATGTGTACGTCCTCGGGCATTGTTACGTCGAGTTGAAACGCAAGTTGCACTTGGCTATACCTGATATGGGTAAGTGTTTTGCTTGTCTTCCTTTCTGTTGGTGAAGATAAGTAGCGCATTTGAATGTTTGAATAATTCCCACCGTTCAAATCTGGGCTGACACTCACAGTGAGAGAACAGGCAACAGTACTCTTTCAATGAAGTAAACGATCCATCTAAATTATTCTTCGTGAAAATTAGATAAATATAAAAAAACATCTTTGGTCTTGATCACCGGACCCACACTTTATGCATTGAACCAATCCAAGAAGTCAACAGCGCTCTCTCCGCCCTTACCCATCATTATCATCATCATCGTCGTGCAGCGAAATACAGTAAGGCGGACTTCACTGATCGCTGCCAAACTCGCAATTCATACAAGGTTAGTGGTAAAATTTAAGGTGGACAGGGATTGGACCTATTTTGAGGGAGCCCTTGCCCAATAGGTCATGTTCTGTTATTTCTTCACGAAAAATAGTTGAAATTAGCGAACGCAAACTGAACTTTTTGTCTATTTAGCAGAATTTCGTCCTAAATTTAGCCATAAAAATGGCTGTGTAATTGGTAAACTGATCTACTTTCTCCTTTCATTGTCAGAAAGTCGAAGTTTGGAATGGACTAATATCAACTTCTCAGTCTATTAATATAAATTTATGCAAGATAAAGCTTTATCAAAGTTCAGCCTATAGGAGAAGGTTCGATACGTACCTGGGTCTTAGTGCAGTTGTATAATATCTTCAATGCACTGCGTCATATATCTGGGATAAGTGCACACCCTCAACAAACGTCGTTCTCAAATGCTGATGGTGATGTGTTTAGTTCAGTTCAATTTGCGCAACAAATTGACTTGCAGTTCTATGTCCCAGTTTACACTGCTGTCTTTTACTAATTGATTTGGTGAACATCTGAACTATAGCCGACATTGCTTAAAGCCACTCCTTAGTGCCACCGCTCTTTCGTATTAATTAATGCCCCAAGCAGCGGGTTTGCCACGGTTTTCGATAAAGCAAAACAACACCAATAAGGTGTTGAACAGAATCCCATCCCAGGGACCTCAAATTGTTTCACATCATAGGAGGTGTAATCTCACGTGGTATGTTTTCAACGTCTGACTCAGACCGACAGCATCATCATTAGTCGCCAATGGCATAGATTTGTTCCAGACAGTCGCATTAATACAACGACAAACTGAAATCATTCGAGAAGACAACCAAGCATCATTTCACCACCACGTTTGTGCAGCTGTTCCCTGAGGAAGGATGAACCGGTTTCATGGAACGTCTTGGGTGTCATCTGTCCGGGAACGATGCTTAAAGGCTGTTGTAACGTTGGGTTGAACGAAAAAACCGGACTACGCAATCCGTGACCAGTGATACGTGCGACAGCGGTGACCCACGAGCGGAACCGTACGACCCAGCGGTATAGTAACGTTACCCGGTATGCCCGACTGCGGTACCCCAAGCGAGACCCAATCGGACAGTAACGAACCAGTACGATCCCCAGAACCCAACCAGAGAGAAGAAGGAAGATAGGCCTTCAGGCGAGTTTGTGTATTTGGCTCCACTGTAAAAGCCGGCGAAAGCGGGCCCGGGGACCGGCCATCAATGACTTTGGGAAATAGCTTGAAAGTAGTAAGCCACAGGAAAATGGACCAATGAAGGTCGAGTAAGGTCGGTGGTGCGGCATGAGTCTTTCTTTGCTCGAAAATCTGGAAATTTAAATTTTAAATTTTGAGGATCGAACAGATGAAAGACATGGTTTTGAAATATCTGTATCTGGGCCTCGGGGGATATGCCCGAACCATTGCAGTTGTTGGCCTTGAAGGAGTATAGACAGCTTCTCAGTATTGAAATAGCGTTGTTTTGTCGTGCCATTCGAAATCATAGTTCAAATCATCGAGGATTTGTCGAACACATTGATCATCAATGACTTCTAGCGTGGTGGCCATTGTAGGTCAATATCGGACGAATGGTTAATGATTTGCAAGAATTTGGTTCGGCAATCGGTCTCGTTGCTTGCCCAGAGTTTTCAGCAAAGTTGTATATGAGATCTCCTTTTGTTGTCGGTGCGCACTTTAATTTCATCTTTGACTAGTCCATTAGTGAAAATCGTGGATCCCCAGTATTTAAATGCCCTATGGAATTCATCTGGCTCGCCGTTGATAGCGAGGACCTGGACAGTGCAACGCAAGACGATGTGTTGATTTCTGGTCCGATTTGAAGGTTTGCATGATGCCAAGTAGGTTGTAGGGCACTTGATTTGTCTCCTAAGACGATGATTGCGTCTGCAAATTCAGGATCATCTAGAAAATTTCCGTGCTCGAATGGACACCAGTATAGTCGATGAGTGCTTGTCTCATTATGCAATCGTTAGCGTAAATAGACAACATCGTCGATAACAGAATACCCCAATCAAACACTGTAGTTGAGCAAGAAACCTCTGATTTTTTCTCTGTTTACGCGTATTGTTGTAAGCGTAGTTTAGTAGTAAGGCTTTACGAAACTGACAAGCCCTTCTGGCGCACCGTCTCGTAAACGGTCCACAGGGAGTCTTTGTCGATCGAGTCGAAGGTGACTCTGAAAGTGAATAAACAGACTACAGTCGGTTGTATTAACCTGTATCGATGCTTTAGTACTTGGAAAAGAGTCTACCCGGTCTGCACATTATTACCCGCCTCATTTATTGGAGCTTCCATAGGCCCACGGGGAAAAGTTTTGTAGCCGCATTCATTCCTCGGTAGTTCTCGTGCACAGTCCTACCACAATTCCTTGAAAGAAGAAGTCAAAGGAAAATTTCCAGTACTTTAGAAATTGTTCATGCTTCCAGATATGGCGAGATGGCGTAAGGATTGACTTTATCAGTGCTGAAAGACTTGATTTGGGTTTTCGTCTTCTTTCGGTTCTTCTAAGTAATAGATTTATACGTCCCTTTGAATGGGGATTTACCTTCATGCTCACCGGGGTATTTATGTCATCGAATTTAATCATGAACTGGTTCATCGCATAGAATGTGACACGAAAATGCGATGTGTGAAAATCGTCTAGTCACCGTTTCCGAACATATAATTAGCTTTATCTAACCGAACTCAGAGTCAAATTTCTNCAAATTTCTAGAAAGATATGGATATAGGCGGTAGGAAGTATTTATTGCGTAAATGGACTTTTAACAGTGTGTTCCCTTAACTGAACCCACTGGTTAAGATGTGTGCCTTGGGTGTGTTGTCTGGTGGGATGTTACTTAAATTTTTGCAACAGGTACAGTGTTTATTGGCACGGAATTCGGGCCCATGCCAACAGACTGTTTCACTTGTGCGCGATACAACTTTCATGGGTCGATGCAAAACAGCAAAGTCGTTGATTCGAGGACCACCTAGAGTAAGTACTAAGCAACAAAGGTGGGGCAAAAGTTGCAACTACACTACACCAGTGGCTAAGTGCCGTGAGACTTTTGTAGATTGCAATTGTGAAACAGACAAACGATCGCGGGATTTTTCAAAGGTATCATCGAAATTCGCAGGTACGTTCCAGGTACGTTTTGGGTTAGCATAAACTCTAACATATTCAACAGACTGTGCAGCTTGACTAATGTGCTCATCTGCATAAAGTGCCGCATAATTGCATTCAAGTGACTGCAGATGTTCTCCTTTGGTGAGGGAAAAGACTGTACCATCATATTTGGATTACTAGATGAATGGATATTGGGAGATCAAGAAGGAGAATGCAATTAGACTGTGAATGTTATAATGTTAATAACACAGCGATGTCGGTCGAGAATTATATTCGCCGACGTTTCTCAAGACAGCCTGAATTAGAGAAAGAAATAAAGCACCTCGGATTTGGGAAACAACATTTATATCACCGTTATAATTATTCCATGCATTGATATAGAACGTGAAAACAAAGGAATTTTCCGTGTTGAGTTAAAGGTTTGATCCGGAAACACGATAAACTAACGTCTCAGTAAAATATTATTTAAGCGAAAAGTGTAGTTTGTAACAATCCCGAACCAAATAATCGAATGAATTGATGTGGTCCTGGAAAACGGGCCAAACCATAAGTAACGAAAGAGAGAAACAATTTGCCAAGTGAGCTAGGGTAGATAGTTGTTGGTAATAAGCAATAGAAAATAAAAATACGGTGTTTCATATATGTAAGGACTTCACTGGAGCAATCCAGCAAGCTTTCCAGATTATTTACCATACGAAAAACGTTCTCAAAAGGTTGGAAGGGGTTATTACCGACTTCACAGCGTTTACTCTGGTCCGGATTCGCAGAGCGTGTCGCGGGAAGGTTCAGTAGACGAGCATCTACATGTTTTTCCCTGTTTTAAAATGATCAGCCCGTTGGAATCGTGGAGGAATGGATCTACCTAATGGCGCTAACCGGACGCAGTTCTATTGAGGTGC